TAGAGTGACAGAAATAGAAAAGAAGGTTGTTTATAAATCCACCACTTGAAAAGCTTTCTTTAAAGAAGCTGTGGTGGTATAGTGTGTTAAGAGTTGGGCTGCTAACGGCAAAGTCAACAGTTCAAGTGCACCAGCCCCTCCAAGAGAAAAAGATGAGGGTTACTGCTCCTATAAAGATTTACAAGTTCGGAAATCTAAAGGGGTGGCTGTCCCTGTCCTACAGGATCACTGTGTGTCAGAACTGACTGGATGGCACACTTGATGATATACTTTGTGAACACAGGGTTCTATTTCCCCCAAATAAACCTTCACTCTAAAATAATGCTTTTGAAATACATACCAAGTTTCCCTACCCATCTTTCTGGTTAAAATTCCTTAACCAATTATTTCTTGTATGAAGTTTTAGTAAAATATTCTTCACTTTTCATGAACTAGTCACACAGAATTAATTTTAGGATCAGTAAGATACTGATTATAAGACTATAAATTATAGATCATAACAAAGAAATTAACTCTCCTTTCAAGTTGTGTCTTGCCCTAAACTCATAGAAAAGGTTCTTAGTGTTCTGGACTCTAGTAAAAGATAAACCCGGAAATTACTCAAGTTGAGAAAATACTATTCTAACTTTAAACAAATTCAATTCTAACCTTAAACAAATTAATTTTAGCTACAGAAATGAAACCAGTTTGTTATACGTACTTAAAGCTCTAGAATGATCCGGATTCCTTATTCCCTTTGCTCGTAACCGCTGAAGAAGAACTGTTGAGGACAACTGTTTTACAAGATACACTGCCATGGAATAGTTCTGGAAGAGAAAGAGAAAAAGATGCTCAAAACAACCAGCATATGTAAGTAAATAATACACCGACTTAATCCCACACTGAAAGGGAAAGAAAAGCAGTATCTGTTAAAAATCTATTGCTATATCAAGCATTATCTTAGGTGTTTTCATTTGATCCTGACCAAAATGCTGCTGAGGTCGTACACTCCTACAATGGATGAGAAAGTGATGTGAGAAAAGTAAATTAACTTGCCGTACTTTTACAACTAAGTAAAAAGGTCAGAACTTAAACTCAGGTGTGTCATACGTATCTATTACCTGACTGCCTATACTTAAAGTATTTTATTCAAGGTATTAAATAATAGAACAGTGTTAAGACTATAAACCAAGGCTATAGGCATCAAATGTTATAATAAGTGATATTTAGTAGATAAGAGATATACCTAAAATATTAGCTATTTTAAAGTTATGAGATTGGCTTCCTATCCTGTCCTAATTTATACCTTTTAGCCTTATATACATTCAGCAGTTCTTGAAAAGACTTTATTTGGGACATTATTACTATGAAGTTCTACAACTAAGGGGAATATTAAAAGTTGCTGGTTTGGTAGATCAATATGAATATCCACTGCCAGCAGAAAAGGAAACAGAAGAATTCATCAGCAAGCCAAGACAGAATGAAAGGTACATGGTTCGATAAAAAGACATTGCAGCTGCTGAGGCTAATGTAGGGTAGTGGACAGATCTAAATCCAGTGTTGGGATCAAAATGAAGATCAAGAGATTTGAAAGGAAGCAAAAGGACGAAAAATTACGGCAATTTTATATTTTATAGCTACTTATAGTTTTCAAAGTAAACTTTACAGAAGATCTAGACGATACAGGCAAGATAGGTATTTTTCTAAGTGAAGGACTGATGAGACTGAGGTGCCAGACAATTATATATTCTGCCCATGTCCATGCAGCTACTCAGTGAATGAGCAGGCACGTGAACCCAAGAGTAGGGATGTCGGCAGAGTGGCTTAACAACCACGTCCAGTGTAATTCTAATTCTCTGCAGTTCTTGCTTTCCCAGACCTTCACTCGCTTTGAGCCTCAGAATCTAGTCTGACACACAATCTAATTTTCAGATACTTATACAATTTTGAAAATGTATTCCTTGCTTTTGGCAACAGAAGAAAATACCCATCAATACCCCCAGGAAGTCAAATTTTCACTGAAGTTCATATACCTATCCATGTTTACATGCTATGTCTTCTCTATAGATGAGGCTGCAACGCCTCGCCACATAGGTTACTGGGAGGGGTGAAATGCAGAGGAGGGTGGGAGTATCAAAGAAAGCAAATTTACTTTCCAAATACTCTTAAAACTGTCTTAGTTTTTAGAGCATAAAAAGTTTCAACCTAATATAAACCAAAAGCCTTCTTTTAGGCAAAAAAGAAAACTTAACCTTATTACTTATTTGCTTAATGCTTCCAGTGTGATAGAAAGTGGAGAAATGCTAATTAACACTGAAATTATGTACTGACAACTTGAATCTTCAGAACAAGGAATTGCCCTCAGGCTTTATATAAATATTTAAGAAGAGATCAAATAGAAACCACAGTTACAAGTTCAGAGGTTCACTCTAGTTGAAACATGTAACCAATTAAAAAAGAAAAAAACAACAAGAATGGCATGTATTAACAAATGCCACATGTATCAATAGTATGGAATTAAGTTTTACATCAAATGAGAGGCGATCAGCAGTAGTTGAACTCCACAAACTTAATGGTGGGAAGGCCTCTCTTCTCGGTAGAAGATATACTGTTACTATATTGCACTATTAATCCTTCTAAGTACTATTAACATTTACAAAGGGGTTTCAAAGTTTGTGGAAAATGTAATGAAAAGATAACAAACATTTCCAATGGACTTTCTGAAGCCCTCTCATATGATATCACTGAAGTTTTGATCAAATGCTTTCCTGAAGGTCTTGTATATGTTCTGTATTAATATTTGAAATAGTTTTTTAAAGCCCCATATCTTCCCTCCTTTCAGATTTAGTTCACTCTCTATCATAATGGAGGTCGTCTGATCAGAACTTCTCTCTCCAGCACTAAACATACATACTCCCCAGTCATTTCATTCTCAGACTCAATAAAGCTGTCTGTCTTGCATAGGACAGGTCACGATCCACCACTGATGCTGTCTTTCTTCTCGTGTATTTAATTTCTCCCTCTCAAGAAGATACATCATCATTTTTTAAACACGTTAGAATTTCTCCCATTAAAACCAACAACTCTCACCCCAAATTCTCCTCTGGCTCCCCTCCCCTTTCAAAGACACCTTTCTAGCATTCACTACCCTCCACTGCCTTGCCTTCACCCAGCTCAGCACAACCTAGCTGCTACTCTTACTTTGCGACCCAAACAGTTCACACTACAGTCACCTTCATGTTCCTATCCCAAAGGGTGTGTATACTCTGCACTTTAGCACACTTGATATCTCAACACGTGTTCAAAACTATCTACCATCTCGCCTTTTGGAAACTCCTATCTTACTCAGCCTCATTTCTCTTGCACCATTTCCCCATTTCTCCTTTGGGCTCCTTCTCCACCATCCAGCCTTAAATGTTATCGATGGTCTCTAACAAACAATCCTTAGGTACTCTTCTCTTCCTATACAATGTATGACTCCTAAACAATGTCAGCTCTGTCTATAAAGTGCTGATATGTACCCCCACCCCAGCATGAATGCATCTTTTAAGTCTTATATGCCCAATTCCGGTATCTCAAAGGCATCTCAAACTCAAAGCTTCAAAACTGATCTCACAAAGTTCTCTCCATCTAATCACTAACCCCTCCTCCTTAAAAAACCTAAACTTGTCCCTTTTCCAGTTTTCCTTCTATCTTGGCAGTATCACCACTCACCTTTTTTAATTAAGTCAGACACCAAGGAGACATCCTGTTGCCTTCCTTTCTCTCATCCACCCATTCGAGCAATCGAACATTCAGTCCTTCGGATCCACCATGCACTCTAAGCCAAAATACTCTCTCACTAATACTTAAGCAACAGCTGGCTCCTTAGCAGTGGTCTCTCTACAAACCCCTATTCAAACTAAGTCCTTCTCTGGGAGGGAGCTTTTTTCTTAAACAGAAATATGATTCTGTAGCTTTTTGCTTAAAAAGAAAATCCGTAGCATTGGCATTATTTACAAGGTCCTCCTCTATGGTTTCCTACCTCATCTTAAACAATGCTCCTTCCCACTCTGTCCTCCAGTTACAGAAGCCTTTTTTCCGCTTTTTTTTTTTTGAGGTGGGGCAGGAGGTGGGATGGGACACACACACCCTAAGCTCACACCTGCAGGTGGGTTGTTACACAAGCTATTTCTCCCTAATCTTTTACCTAAGTGATTCCTACTCTTCACTTCACTCTTGGCTCAGTTCCCACTTCCTTAGGAAGTCCTCCCTGACCTCCTCCTAACCCAAAACACTCTTTTAACACCCCCCCAAAATGACCGCGTTACACCCTTTACGTTATGTACCTTTATGGTATGTATAGGTTCACATTTTTTGGAGTAAGACTGCCTGGTTCCTAGAGGTCTCAAGCTCTCTGAAGGCAATGATCCTCACCAACTCCCTGCAACTCATGGCACTGCCAAGGAGCCCGGATGCCACAGTAGTTCAGTGCTCAGCTACTGACTGAAAGGAAAGGTTGGTGGCTTCAAATGTGGCAGTGTCTCCATAAATATTTATTTATTCATGAGTAACTGATATTTTAATTTTATACACAAAGCTTTACAGTCTCAGAAACCCTAGGGCTTTACGCCATCTGAAAGGGGTTGCTATGAGTTGCAATTAACTCGACATCAGTGGGTTGGGTTTGGGTATTTTCAGTTGTGAACACAAAACCTGGTACACACACAGTAAACAAACAGTAAATTTCAAACAAATTAGTGAATATATATGAGCTCATATTATGACGTTTCAATAACCGAAAGACTCTGAAACTCTCAGAGAAAGAATGCTAGACCAGCAAAAACATAGAAACTTCAAAGAGACCCAAGATAAACAAAACTAAATTCTAGCACTGGATTCAGAAATTAGCATTTGTTTAGTTAATGGTGTTATATTTTTAACCAACTATTTTCAAAAAGTTAAAAAAATTTTTTATTTTAAACTATACCTAAGTGTAAGATAGATTAGATCATTAAATGCGAAATAAAAAATCATAAAAGGCTAGGAGAAAATATAAACAAGCACACATTGTTGTTGCTACTTGTCATCAAGTAGATTCTGACTCCTGACAACCCCATGTGTGCAGAGAATGGCTCCACAGGATTTTCAAGGCGAAGACCTTTGGAATGCTGCTCCCTCACACGAGGCCTGTCTTCTAAGGTGCCTCTGGGTGGTTTGAACCACCAACCTTACTGCTACTAGCTGAGTGCTTCATTATTTGTGCCACCAAGGGACTCCCTAAACAAACTACCACCACCATAAAAAATATATGTCTCTATGAGTGTTTATTTTTAAAACGAGAAGACAGTGAGAATTCATTGAGATAATAATGCCTTTTCAACTTATTTTATAATATGGTTTCTTTATAAGCTCCTGTAGCTATGGAGATTATTAACCCATAGGTCAATACAAGCATCTTCTAGGAGAAAACAAATGTACTTACTCTTCCAATTTCTGCCGTCCAAGAAACAACAATGGTGTTTGGTACTGTTGTGGATAATCGGACAAGTGAGGTGATATTAATTGGTCGGCTGGGTCGCTTTGGTTCCACACCATTTTTAGTAGGTGGAAGATAACCCTAAGAATGACATAAGTTCTTATTTACTGCTTCCACAATAACTTACTTGTCTTATCAAAAAACTTATTTATATAATGTTTATCAAAAAATTCACACTTCACATATTATTACATTTCTAATCCGAGCACTCAAACCTACAAGCTAGAAAATATATTTTCATTGAGAATGAAGAATCAAACATTTAAACATTTTGTGTTCTTATTTCTCTAAACAACATAGTAGTTTTAATGTAATAAACCTGAAAAATAAATCAGATAGATTAAGACATCTCTAAGATTTAAGAATCAGGAAATAGTCATAGAGCTATAGAGCTTCTTCTTCCAAAGGCTTCTAAAGGCTTTATAAACCCTTCTTATAAAGCTTACAAGGAACATTTTTTGTGGGAACCAAAACCGTCTCTAAAGTGTAGCTCTCTTCATATCTTCATTTGACCGTAGATTACGTTACAGGTCCACATGGAGCTGGGTTTTGTTGAAACAACTTTTTCTCCCCTAAAGCTAGTACAACTGATCTCCACTGGTAAGGTCACAGCTTTTAATTACATAAAAATTGGCAAAAGTTCTTAATCCAATCACATAAAAATATATCCAAAACAAAATTTTCTTAATAAAAAAATTATTATCAAATTTGTGGTGTCTTACTTAATAGCTATGTTGGCAATGAAATTTTTTTTTAAAATAGCTTTTGAGACTTACTGGAAGGCTGCAAGGTTTTGTATTCACTTTAACACAAAGATTGGGTGGGAAGTGATCTTCTTGTGGACAACTGGTTTCTGATAAACAAAACCTAAACAATAGAAATTTAATTTCCTTTAATAAAGCATAAGATAATACTTTTGTTCAACAGCTAATTTAAAACATGATCAATTATTAACAAAAAGGAGGAAAATTATAAAACAGGGTGTTTCATATTATGAGCATACATATTTAAACAAGTTTATAAGAACAATTGTGTCAATGTAGGGTTTCAATGAGTAAACTACAGTATCTGTTCTCATGATACTGTCAATTATGAGTTTAAGTATGCTCTAAGAGGACTAGCTACTGGGAAAGGAGGTTCACAACCTCACTGCCATGAAGTCAATGCCAACTCACAGGGACCCTATTGGTCAGGGAGAAACTGCCCCGTGAGTTTCTGAGACTGTAACTCTTTACAGAAGTAGAAAGCCTCTCCTTTTTCCTGAGGAGTGGCTGGTGGTTTTGAACTGCTGACCTTGTGAATGCAGCCAAATGCATAACCAGTCCATCACCAAGGATCCCAAAAACAGTATATAGTATTTCCAAATGTATTTGCTTGTGAAACTTTTTTTAAAATTTCAAACAGAACAGACTGGAAGTGCTTTAAGTCTACTCCTTTACCAAGACCTAGGGAATCTACTAGTTGCCCAGAACTAAAGAAAGTTGAACAGTAACAATGCATCCATATATATTTAGAATATTATTTTAGAAACTTAGTAAAATATTTAGATATATTCTAAATAAAGTACATAATCTTTGTGAAAACCATGATTTTTAATTTCTCTTTCTACCCACATATAGATAATAAAATATATTATCATTTTTCTATTTATGACTTCTGTTCTTTTATTATAACCTTATTCCCAATATACATTGGAGGGTCACTCCATCTTTATAGACTGTTCACAGGACATGTTAGTTCTGCAGTTTGAAGAAGCCTACTGCTGAATCCTGTGAAATACTCATTGTGTCCAAACCTCTTCCCTCATTCTCAGTGACACGAGGAGGCTTTTACCTGCCCACCACAGAATTTACACACGGGCAAGGTCCCCAAAGAGGTCATTTTTAATATGTTCATCGCTTGGAAAACAATTTAGAGTTCTCATCAGATTCTCAAAAGAATCAAACCCACTGGCATTGAGGGTTTCTGGGGCTATAAATCTTTATGTACGCAAAGACCCTCAACTTTCTCCCTCCGAATGGCTACGGAGTTTGAACTGTTGATCTTGCAGTTACCAATCCAATGTGTAACCACTATGCCACCAGGGCTTCTTCTTCCAAAGGGGCTATCAGGCCAAACTCGCTGCCATAGGGTTAATTCTGACCCACAGGGATCCTACAAGATAGAACAGAACTGCGGGTTTCTGAGACTTAAAGACTAGAAAGTCTGATCTTTCTCCCACTGGAAGGCTAGTAGTTTCAAACCGTTAACCTCATAATTGGCATCCCAACGCCTAACCCACTATGATACCAGGGTCTTTCCAAAAGGAAGAGAGACCTTTGAAAAGGTTAAAAATTACTGGTCTACAAACATTTTTCTCAAAATACCCAAACTCATATGTTTACTGACTTCTAGAATAATTTTCCATTGTAGGCAATTTTTAAAAGTAATAAAATACTTTAAGAGTCAGAGAGTTATCACAATTTTAAAAAATCATTTATTGCTTAATATATGAACAACCTTGGCGGTCTGAGACTGTAAGAAGAGTAATTCTTTATGAGAAATGGATTCCTATTCTAAATTGCCCTACTAAACTGAGGAGAAAAATCAGGGGGGGGGGGGCCCGCGAGTCGTGGAAAGTTGCCGTGAAGGGAGTTCATAAAATGGGGAACAGGTAAATAAATGAAGTACGAATGTAATAAAGAAATCACTGACACAAATTCTAATCATGCTTTAAAAGAAAATACTGAGAGAGGAGCTGATGTACTATAACTGACTGTGATTATGTATCTGAAACTTTCAAAACTATAACCACACTATGGAAGGGTATGTCATGTGAATTATATCTCAATAAAACTACTGGCATACATACTTTAAATTTTATTTATTTATTTATTTAAATGAATAACTTTATTGGGGGCTTGTACAACTCATCACATCCATACATCCATCCTGTGTCAAGCACATTTGTACATTTGTTGCCATCATCATTCTCAAAACACTTTCTTTCTACTTGAGCCCTTGGTATCTGCTCAGTGTCTCCCCTCCCCCCTCGCTCCCTCCCTCCCCCTTGATAATTTATAAATTATTATTCTTTTTTCCTATTTCATTCTCGGAAACATTTTTTAGACTCATCTGTTTGGAAGGCAGCTATGCTCACTACTATAGACTCATCTGTTTGGATGGCTGACAGCACCTCCCTCATTTCTTTCTTCACCTCTTCGACATCGTCAAGTCACTGTCCTCTCATGTCCCTCTTCATTTGCAGAAACAAAAAGAAGTCGCACCATAAGGTCAGGTGACTAAGGTGCGTGGGGCAAGAGGCGCAAGCTGTTTTTTGCCAAAACTAGTGCACTGAGATGGCTGCACAAGCAGGTGCATTTTGTCATGGTGGCAAAACCTGTCTCCCATCTGCCTTAAATCAGGCCTTTTTTGTAGCACGCTGTTACTCAATCTTTTCAGAATCTCTAAATAGAAAGTTTGATTAACAGTATGACCTGGTGCAATGAACTCCAAATGCATTATGAGTTGACATTGTGGTCTGTTTGGGAAATTGACAGATGTCTAGAATGAGGTTTGTCATCCACTGACATTTCACCTTTTTTGAAATAAGAAAATCACTCATACACTTGAGTTTTACTTACAGCACTGTCCTTGTAAGCTGTGTTCAACATCACAACAGTTTCTGTGGCATTTTTCCTGAGCAGGAAACAAAACTTCACGCTGTATGCTGTTCTCTTAAATTGGCCATCACATAAAATGAGGTTCAAGCAAAACTCCTTTTACAAAAAAATTCACTGTGACCATAGAGAACCTTCCCAGGCAGTGCCATAGGGTACACTTAACTCAAGAGTGAGTTGCTCAATGCTCGCTTAGCGCGAAGGTGGGGAGGGGGAAGAATGCACATTACAAAAAGTTCTGATCCATGTAATTCTGGGTGGCTTTGGGTACCCCCTCGCATATTAAGGGGATTGTAATGGACCAGTTGAAACAAAATGTGTATGAATTGTTGCATATAAAACTGCTAAACTGCTCTGTAAATCTTCACCCAATTCTTTCTCACACATACACACTTGAAAAATATATATTAAAATACAAAAAATTAAAATATTTGGTGCAACTCTACAAGATACTGTAGATTTAATAATTTTTATTTTTTTAGACTTAAGTACTACAATAGCTTGCCTTTATCTACCGTAGTTTGCCTCTCATGCAAATAAGCAACTTGCTTCCCCTAAAATGTTGTATTTCTAAAAAGCTGACCATTATGCTATTTAAAGACAGCAGTTCGAGCTTTTGAACTAGCTGAGGGTAACCAAAGTAGAGAAATATGGTAAGACATTAGATACAAAACTTTTTTCTTCTAACAACTTGTTATATCAACATCTAACACAAACCCAAAGCCATCAAGTTGAATCCAACTCAGGAGCAAACCCTACTGGACAGAGCAGAACTGCCTTGGGAGGTTTCTGAAGCTGTCAGTCTTCCTGGAAACCTCACCTTCCTCAGAGAGGCTGGTGAGTTCAAACTCCTCGCCTTTCAGTTAGCAGCCCAATGCTTAATCCATGGACTATGAGGGCCCTTTTTAAAAAAATCTAACTTTGTTAGAAATTAGGGTATTTCATTATAGGAGAGTGTTTTTTTCCCCCCTATCCAACCATGGAACTTCTCTATACACTGGCTATTTTGAACAATATCTAAGGAGTTATAACATCTCAAAACTTTGCATATATACTGCACTGCAATCAACACTGTACCTTAACTGGACCTGTACTGTGAAGTCACATTTGGTCCCAGAAATATCCCTAGAAAAGACAAAGACACAGGAGTTATAACTATATTCAAACATGTACATCACATTAGAACTGATTCAAAGACACTGTCATTTCAGGGGGAAAAATCAATTTATCACACATATGGCTGTTTTGAGTGTAAACAACATTGTATAATAAAAAATTTAAGAACTAATATTAAATGACACTGTTATTCACTATGAAAAAATTTCAAATTATCATAGCTATATTTGTTTGGAGACAACTAAAATACTATAATAAAAATTTTAAGTACTAATATTGCATGACACTAGTACTTACTACAAACCAACCAACCAGTCTCTGCCACAACCTATTACCTAACCTACTACAGCACCCGGACTCTCTGTACTCACTTCAAAACCCAAACCAAACTAAGCCATTGAGTGGATGTCCTCTCAGAGCAACCCTCTAGGACAGGTTAGAACTGCTCCAGCGGGTTTCCAAGACTGTAACTGTTTATAGGAGCAGAAAGTACAGTCTTTCTCCCTCAAAATGGCTGGTGGCTTGAATGGCCAACCTTGAAGATCACAGCCCAATGCATAACCATTAAGCCATCAGGGCTCAATACTCATTTAATAGGTGGTTTTTTAAAAATCACTTACTATAGCCAATCTTGGGCTCAAATGTCAAACTGTAAGTTACAATTGAAGACAACTTACATGGAACTACTGATTTGCTGCACTTGTTGTGGTGTCAATGCAAATGCAAAACAGGTTTCTCGAAAGCGCTGACTGTTGTCTGATGCTAAAGAAGAAAAAAATATAATTTTAATTACCTTCAATTTCACCAATAGAGAAAATAACCCGGCAAAAACATAGTCATACCTTTAATTAATTAGAGAGTATTCTAGATTACATAACAATGCAAATCAGAACGCACACAAAGAAAAGACCAGCTTTAAAAAAAATTATGTAAAAAGCATCTAATATAGCAGAAGGACTTTGGGCGTCTACTCAAGGCCTCCCTTAGCACAAGAACATGCTGTTCTGATAACCTGGCACTCTTTGATATTCACCTTCCTGACAACATTGCAGAAGACAAAATGGGTGCATAAGTAATGTGGTGAAGTGAGCAGATGGTGCACGGTTAGAAAAATATATAGCATTTGGGGTCTTAAAGGCTTGAAGTCAATCAAGCGGTCATCTAGCAGGGAAGCAAATAAGCCCACATGGAAGAAGCACAGCAGCCAGTGTGATCATGAGGTGCCTATGGAATTAGACATCAGGTATCAAAACCTCCAAAACAAACAACTATATTGATGTGAGAAAGGGGGGTTGAAGACCCAAAACCCATCTGTACATAATTGTATATCCCTCCACAGAAGTGGTATATGGAAGGGATGATTCAACCAAGGTGCAGTATAGCACTGATGAATCACCCATCATTCCTTCAGTTTAGCAGTCATCAACTTGTGGGTTGCATGACCCTCCCACAGGCGTCACCCAAGACAATCTGAACCACTTATTTCCAATGGTCTTAGGAACTGAGACACCGCTCCTCTATCTACCTCAAGGCGGGTCAGCCCACATACAAGTACAAGATGTGATGACATCATCGCGCCAACCTCATCACATATACCCCGTACAAATACAGGTGTATGTGACAAGCTTGGTACCATAATGTACTTATGTGGACCAGTCACACGTGTACAGAGCAGCTACTATGTAGAGAGCAGCTACTGGGTTATAAGCAGCAGTATTGGAAGTAAAACGACACTTCATGAATTAAAAGTAATTACTGGGTAAATGTAAAATCATTACTGTAAAATCATAAACTACTGCAAAAAAAAATCTGTACCATGGGAATTTAATCTGGATGCTGTGGTTGATGTGAAAACTGCCCCCTTGTGATAGTAAGAGGTATGTAAAAAAAACCAACAAACCCACAATGGTAAACCATAGGAAACTTTAATGAACTGTATTGACTGAACTATGCCAAGTATCATCTTTTGTATTATTAAAGTTATGGTTATATATTATTTTCATTAGCAAAACATCCCATGACAATGGGTCATGTAGAGAACGTTAAGATAAGAAAATATAGTGAGGATTTTTTAGTTTGGTTTTACCTCAAAAATTATAGCAAGAATTGAGAAACCACACTGTGTTATTTGTTGTGAAGTTCTATCAACAGAATCTATGAAGACGGACAAACTAAAACGCCATTTTGATAGCAAGCACTTGACCTTTGTCGGCACGGATACCAACTGTTTTAGAAGCAAAGCTGATGGACTCAAGAAAACCAGACTTGACACTGGTGGCAAGTACCACAAACAAAACGTTGCAGCCATTGAAGCTTCATATTTGGTGGCATGCAGAATCGCCAGAGCTATGAAGCCTCACACCATTGCTGAGGATTTACTGTTGCCAGCGGCCAAAGACATTGTTCGATTTATGATTGGAGACGAATTTGTTACAAAATTGAGTGCAATTTCCTTATCTAACGACACTGTCCGCAGAAGAATAGATGACATGTCGGCTGATATTCATGATCAGGTAATCCAGAAAATTAAATCTGCTCCACCTACAGACACTACAAACTGTTGACAGTTACTGGTACACCTGCGGTATAGTAATGATGGCGACTTTAAAGATGAGTTTTTTTCTGCAAACCTCTTGAAATGACAACTACTTCATGTGATGTATTTGACACAGTTGGTTCATTTCTGAAAGAGCATAAGGTCTCTTGGGAAAAGGTTTGTGGTGTTTGCACAGATGGTGCTCCAGCTATGCTAGGATGTCGATCTGGATTTCAACGTTTGGTACTGAATGAGTCACCAAGTCATTGGAACTCACTGTATGATTCATTGGCAAATATTAACCCTATAACGACGAGAGCGACGTTTTCGTAACATTTAATTAAAACATACCTGGAACCGAAATTATGAAGCTTTTGGAGCCAATGTCGATGTCAACGTAATCGTCGCACTTTACTAGTACAAATACATACCGCTAGTCACGCATTTTAGCAGCAACATGCTTGAATTGTGGCACGTTTTGACTGATTGTGTGTTTGTTGGCGTTCAGTGCATTTTACGATAATTTTCAATCTAGTGAAGTTTTAGTGTTGATATTTTTAGTATGTGTTCATAAAACTCTAGTTTTTATGTCAAAGGTGTAATACTCATAAAAACATTATATTTATTATATATTTCTACTTTTTCAAAACCTAATGACTTCATTATGTTTGTCTTTTGAATCAACGGTGACAAAAATTTCCACAGCATGGATTGTGATTTGTTTTTGGAAAACGGTGAATTTATGGAAGCGGTACAGACTCAGACAAGGAACCAGATGCTAATATGGATAAAATTGGTAAATAAAATGTGTACTGTATTTTAAAATTTTGATTTTACAATATAAAATTTTAATTACATTGCTATTAAAACTATTTTGATAATATTTTTCCCATGATAGGAAGTGAATATACACCCAATTATTCTGATTTGGATTAATTAGTGGACCTCGTAGTTAGTAATGATAATACTAGTGAAGATGAGTTAGAAACTTCAGTTGTTGAAGAATCAATTCCAATAGCTACAAGTTCAAAACCATCTACATCAAGAAATCTAAGAATTCCTCTTTGGCGGCACATTTCTGGAGACGGTACAGCTAGACCTATGCCTGAATGGTTAGGACAAATAGATTCTTCTAGGTTAGTAAAACGTCCTGTTGAATATTTTAGACATTTTTTCTCGAAGGATATCATTGCTCATATTGTTGACCAATCAAATCTCTATGTAATCCAGCAAAATCCCAATAAACCTCTTGCACTGAGTAGCCAGGAACTTCAGCAATTTTTGGGTACACTGCTTGATTTGATAGACTCGCTAATTGCACTGTACAGAATTCACATCAGATTGAAAAAATATTATCACAAATTATTTTTTCATTTTATAGATGTGACTGTTGGGAACTCTTGGCTACTTTCTTGTAGAGACTGTGAGAGCCTTCAGTTACCAAAAAAAACAAAAACAAAAAATCCAAAGTCTGCAAGAGTTCAAAATGAGCATCGCCGAAGCTCTTCTTCGTGAAGGAAAAAGTAATAGACCAACAAAAAGAGGCAGACCTTCTACTAGCTTTACTCATGTTGAGTTTGCTAAAAGAGAGAGAAGAGGTCCTGCCACCAAAAGTCTCCCTGGAAGAGACACCCATTTGGATGGTCCTCACTGTTACCCTGAGGTCACAAACAGAGGAAGATGCAAAAATGTAAATGCAAGACTGCAGTCAGAAGCACTTTTCAGCGATAAAAATGAACTGTAGAAACTACCTTACTTGGTTGGCATCTTTGCCACCTTGAATGAGTTCAATTTATCACTGCAAGGACGACCTGCAACATGCCTCGATTTGTCTGAAAAGATCCGGTCATTCCAAATGAAACTGCTGCTTTGGCCAAAAAAAAAAAAAAAGGATGAAAATAAATTTTACATGTTGTCTACCTTATCGGCTTTCTTTGAGGAACATGACATTGAACCAGACAAAAGGATTACGATGATAGTTTCTGTGAAAGAACACTTGCACGTGCTTGCAGATGAAATTTCATCGTACTTTCCAAATCTACCTGACACCCACTTCACTTGCCAGAAGCCCGTTCACAGTCAAGGCTGAAGATGTTCCTGAGACAGCACAAGAGGAGTTCACTGAACTTAATAGCGATGCAGGGAGAACTGACTTCTCTACCATGCCAGTTACAAAATTCTGCATCAAGTGTGTGCAGTCATATCCTGTTCTGTCTGAGACTGTGTTGCACTTTCTTCTTCCATTTCCAACAACATATCTTTGTGAAACAGGGTTTTCCAGCTTGTTGTGGTAGACTTGTTGTGGAAGATGATCTTCGTTGTGCTCTTGCAAAGACTGCCCCGAGAATTTCTGATGTGGGGAGAAAGAAGCTATCTCAACCTTTGCACTGACTTTGGCTTTTTACGAATACTGTCACAAAATGTAGCAATGTAGTTTACTGTTGTTATAGTAAGATTGTTATGGATGCTACACCACGCTTTGAGACAAAACTTCATTTATTTATAATTAGAATATTTCACAATATATAATTACATATTGTTTTGTGATTAATCACTGTGCTTTAATTATATTCAATTCGTAACAATTAAAATACATCCTGCATATCAGATATTTACATTATGGTTCATAACAGTAGCAAAATTAGTTATAAAGTAGCAACAGAAATAATTTTATGGTTGGGGGTCACCACAGCATGAGGAACTGTATTAAAGGGTCACAGCATTAGAAAGGTTGAAAACCAATGCTTTCATTCCTGAATACTCCCCCTCCTTCCCCCCCCACATACACACTACCATGACTCAGTTCTAACTTACAAATCTGGCTTGACCGGAGAACACACATTGGCAGAGGTAAGAGCTCTCAACAAATGGAATTCAGGAAAGATAAAACCCCTCAGGAATAGTAATGGGAGTGACGATATCATGAGTGTAGGACGATGGTCCAGGAGGGGGAAGGGTGAGAAAGGGGGACCTATCACAAGATTGGATGTATAGCCACCCCCCCCAAAGGGACAAATAACAGAAATGTGGGTGAAGGGAGACAAAGGACAATATATAATTGATCAAGAATACACAGTAGGGGTTAGAGCTTACACCAAGGGATCAAGTAGAAAATGTTTTGGAAATGATGATGGCAACATATGTACCAATGTTTGATACAATTGATGTATGTGATGTTGTAAGAGCTGTAAGAGCCCCCAATAAAATGATTTAGAAAAAAAACGTA